GATCCTTTATATCCTATATATTCGCATTACAGTCTTAAAAGATACTTTATTTATTTTTTTTTTAATACGAATCTCTTAATAGAATTTAAAAAAGTTAAGCATGAAAGTTTAAGGATACAAACATAGGAATAAATATTATAAAAATTGTAAATGTATTATTAAATAAGACAAAATTGAATGATTGTTTTTATCAATATAGGTAGAACTTTAATCTCGGTTCAACTTCTCATCTCTTTCTAATTTTTAAAATTAGAAAAAAATGAATGATAAATTGAACCGAGATTAAATTAATCTATATTGTTAAAAACAGAGATATAAGAATATTTAAATGACAAAAACCGCATTACTTCTATTAGATGTTAATAATGTAATTAATAATGTAATTAAAATAATATATTTGCAAAAAAATTATATTTAGCACTAAGATCCGCTTAAATCGAAAATTATTTGAATTATTTTTATTAATTGATTAAATAATTAATACTAATTCCGCCCTTTTAAATGTCACATAATTATATTATTCAAACAGAAGATCCGCTTTAATCGTAGGAATAAACGTTTTCCTTTAAATTCAATATCATATATGCTCCTTTTAAATCTGACTTTCCTCAAACGAATGTTCTATATAGATTATTCAGTTCCTTTGTATTTCAAGTTTTTAAATAGGTATCTACTTTCGTGTACCAACAACTCACAGTGTGACGTTTAAAGCGCATCGTTTGAAAGGAATTCGCGCGCATGCCAGAACATCTCGTTGTTCACTATTCGTAATTTTACGTATCAGCGTCATCCCCGAAAGCATCTTAATTTACACATCTCGCGTCAACATAGAATTCCCATGATCATCGATCGCGCCGCGTCGTGTTATCGCATGCGGATTCTTATTTATCTTCCGTACACGACCTGCGTCTCTCGCGCGTCGATCAATAAAAGATATACAACGCAGAAAGGAAGGCGGCGACAACCGAGCGAGGACGAGAGGCGACGCAACGTGATCACGAGAAGACAAGCGACAGTAATCACTGCCAAAAATCTCGCATCATCGGTTGACTGACTCATCAGCAGCATAGGAAAATATTTGACGCTCGCCACACTAGTCATCCCGGGTATTTGGGGATGCTGGGTGGCTCAGGTGGTTGCGTGGCGGCTTGAAATAGCGTCGCTCGCCCGCGCAAAATCGCGTCGATTAGGGCCACGAATAGTGTGCGCCCACCACCTCGTCGAGAGCCATTGGTAAATTTAGAACATTTTGTTATGCCAGATCAACGTCGTTGGCGTGCGTCACTGTCTCTTTGCTCTCGTACGTGCACTGATTTTTACATAAAGTCGATTGGACACAACATAATATTAACGCATATCATGCATGAGATCATCTTGTAATATTGTTATTATGTTTACTAGAAATTAGATTTTTATTGCATATTTTTTTTAGAAAGTAGATTGGAAAGGAAGAAATAGAAATTTATTTTATTAAAAAAACATACTAAAAATATATATTTATTTATGTATATTTGCATATTTGTGTATATTTGTGTGTATATTTGTGTATTTAATTTATATTCTGTTTATAAAATATTCGATGTCTAATTACATAGAAAATTAATAAAATGAGACAATTTCTATATTGTTATCTTATTAATTCTGATTATTCTTCCGTGGGAAAAAATAATCATCACAAATAAGCAAAAAAGACCAAAATAATATTGGCTCAATAATATTTTTATGTCAATTTTTACAATTTCCGATTCAAACAACTGCGCGCTAATTATTTGTTAAATTAAAAAAGTAATTAAATAAGTTAAACTAACTTGGATTAGCCTATAAATAATAAAAAATATAAGACAGAAATCAATAATAGGTATGACGTATTCTTCAAGAGTATCGACTTATTTGGTAGTCTCATTAATTATAGGTCTGATGTTGCATTATCTGAAAGCAAAACCGTTTACTAGCATTTATTTTCTAATAGTTATAATTTCATCACCAATAACATTACCTCCAGAATAGAACAGATTTGGAGATTATCTATATTCTATATATAAATTAAATCGATACCTTTCAACATTATGTAAATCAAGAATGTATACATATGGAGAATAATATATAGCGGCTTGTATCTCACTTTGTGCAAATCTGACTGCGTATTATCGCATATTTCTACTCGATTTCGATTATTAAAGAAATTGAGCTTTTTTACAGAATTATAATAAAAGCACATCCTCCTTATCAAAGGATGATCAAAAAAAGATATAAAAGTGCGTCAAATAGGAGAAGTAAGAGATGTTAGGGCATTTATTATCATTTTAGCTAGTTAGGGCATTTATTATCATTTTAGCTAGTTAGGGCATTTATTATCATTTTAGCTTTTACTCTTTAAGAACAAATTAATGCAAATGTGACATTGAGAACAGAGAAAATTACAAAAATTAAAGAAAATTAGTTACAAGAAAAAGAAGAAACACTCAAGCATAATAAATTCAGCAAAAATAAAATAAAATAAAATAAAAATAAACAAAATAGAATAAAAAATTAAAGAAAATTGAAGAGAGAGAGAGAGAGAGAGAGAGAGAGAGAGAGAGAGAGAGAGAGAAAGAGAGAAACACATAGAGAGAGGATAGATACACGGCACGAACGGCGGGAAGGGGTCAAGGGGGCAAGAGACATCAAGAGAGCAAGACGGAGAGCAAGGGAAGGGAGAAGGGGAACGGGCGCGTGGCAGCGCGTGGTGCCAAATAGGGCATCAGGTGGTTGCGAGACGCCCGCGAGAAAAAGATCGTACGCGCGTGCGCGTATATACGTGACTGCTAACCGGGCGCTCACGTACGTACGCACGCATGCACGCATGCAAGCACGCACGCACGGACGGACAGACGGACGCACGCACGCGTCCGCACAAATGGCACGCGTCTCTTACCCTCCCGAGGAGAGGTGCCGTAGGTCTGTCTCATGTATGGCAGACACGCGCGCTCACAGATGTTGAGAAGACAGGGGGAAAGAGTGAGAGAGAAAGAAGGAGAAAACTATCGTCCGGAGATAAAATTACTTTCTCTGTACGCGACGGATTTGTATCGCTTTTACCGTGGATGATTACGTAACTATTTATACATATACATATATGCAATCGGCCAAACGCTGAGAGGCCACATTCTCGACGCTCCGTTCGTCGTGATAGATCCAATAATAGTAGACTAGAGAGAGAGAGAGAGAGAGGGGGGGGGAGGGAGGGGAGGGGAATAGCAGTCCCTTGCTCCCCCGCGATCGATGGTCTCCTCCACGTCATCCCGTGCGATACATGCGGGATAGCGATCTGCGGAATTTCATTATCATGCCGCATGCCTTTTCTCAGCGGACTTAGTTACCGATATAACGACGATAATGGCGGCAATTTGCGCTCCGCGCGTAAGTGAATACTTATTCTCTAGGACTTCGCGCATAATTGACAATAATACAAGATAATTTACCGCGATACACGGTTTACCATATTTGCCCCGGCTATGTACGAGCAGTTAATAATTTCGCACTGCCGCGCCGACAAGCGTGGTTATGACAGGAATAATTATCGACGTTGACGACCGGTGACAATTAAGTTTCGACACGCGATCCGCCGACCGATTCGACCTGCTTATTTTAATTTACGATTAACTACATGCGTCTGAAATCGAAACGCCGAGCTCTTGTTACCTATTTCTCTTCAACAAGAAAGACGAGAAAGAAAAAAAAAAGAAGAAAAGGAAACAGAAAAAATTTCTCATCTGCGTTAGGTCGTCCAATTGATGACAGAGTCACTTCGCGATATAACGTCAGATTGATCGCGCTCTGTCCTCCGCTTCGCTTTTTCGCTCTCCTTAACGCCAGTTCGCGGCTTTTCCTCCATCTTCCTCCGTCGCGTGCTCGCGCGCGTTCTCGAAAGTACCTCATACAGGGGGAGGGGGAGACAACAGTCGCGCGCCGCGAGTCTACGTCACGATGCTCTACGTCACTAGTGAACGGGGTGGTGGAGTCGGGGAAGGAGGGGGAGGAAGCTCCCATGGTGGGACGCTAGTACGCGGAGGGAGTTAGGGGAAGGTGGCGGCGCGCGAAGGGCAACTGGTGGGGATAGATATACGCTCGTACTTCGTAAGCACTGGCTGGTAACTACGACGGCGCGAGAGAAGCACTGGTAACTGGGTGGGGCGGGGGGGAGGGGAGAAGGGGATCGTTCAGATCTTACACTTATACATGCGATACTTGCGTATAGGATCTGCGTGCGTCGTACGTGTATTTAAATATACGCGCGTGTGTTTGAAGTCTCTTAAATACACATGTATACCCCGGCGTATATAAATATACGCGCATACATGTATGAAAATGTATCCCGCGCGCACACACGCGTGCGTAGACAGTGGTCCGACCGGGCGGGGATTGGCTGGCGGTCTCGACTCCGCGCTTCCAAATATGGGACAGTCTCGGCGGTCCATTCATAAAACTACGGGGCGCGCCGTCGCTCGGCTCAGTTCGTGCGCGACCCCCACGCATCGCGCGTCCTTTAACAACGTCGCCGTGCACGAGCCAATACATATTCTCTCTCTCGGCCGAACTATACATCTTTACTCGAAGGAGAGTCGCGTTCAAAGAAAGAAAGAAAGAAAAAGAGAAGCGAATCCGCGCGCGGTAAAGAGAGATAGATAAACATGGATGGACAGAGAGAAAAAGAGGGAAAAAGCTAGAGAAAAGGAAAGAAAGAGAGAGAAAGAAGAAGAGAGAGAGAGAGAAAGAAAGAGAGAGAAAGAGAAAAAGTTGTCGACGCGACGTAAAACGCGCGCGGCTACTCGCGCGCGCGCGAGCGCGCTCACGTTCGCGCGCCTACGCACACGTTACCGGATCATACACACTGTATTTGCTCTCACTCG